TTGCTAAAATCAAATCTTCCTAGGATCAAATGTGTAAACTCTGCATGGTGTACATCACTTTATAAAATAAAGACATGAGTCAGTGAAAATGCCAAAATATTACTGAACAACTGATAAACATGTAATTTCAGGACAAGATGCACCCCCATTTGTTTATTTTGCCAAACTGGGTCGACTGTAGAACTGGAAAAACAGAGTGAACACCTGAACTGTGATCCAGGTCCAGATGAAATGTTGGTCTGAAGTGATAAGATCACTATGCACTCAGAGGCTAAAAGCACACAAAATTCCAAGTTATAACCATTGAGAAAGAACCTCCAAAATGTACATTATGAATTTCCATATAATTTCAGTAACATATTCATCAAATGAACTTAAAAATCTTCCTAACATGCTCATTTTACCAACATAAAATGAATACCATGATTAGTTTTATGTTCTTTCTCTTTTTAAAGTTATTCTGAATTAATCGGAACTTGCCTTCCAGTGCAACATTAATGTTCCAAACAAAAAATCCCAAGAAAATAATTGGCATGGACAGAGAAAAGCAGTGCTAAAGCTCAAATTCTAAAGTCACACATTAGCAAATTCACATGGGACAGGTGGAGCAGCGTAAAGGAACAAACTTCACACTTGTGCTAAGCAACTCTGTTCCTAAAGAACAAGCACACAACACAGCAAAATTTGTCTGCAGCAATCTCTGGCACTAGCAGCCTTTCACTTATACACCTTCCTTATCGGTTAGCCAGACAGTTTCAAAGACATCACAGCTATATTGCAAGTAGATTAATAAGAAAAAACAAGTTAAAAAAAAATCTTTGGTGCAACAGGCTCTCGAGCAAGGCAACATTTCAAAAGCATCTGGATAAAGACTTACGATGAGATAGACACACAAACACATGCTGAGTGAATTTAAGTCAGGAGAACATGCTCACCAGAATTCAACAAAGAAAAATTCTGAGAGAAATAAACAGAAAAAGCATCTATTTGAATGTTTCTGCTCCTACCCACAAAGGTTCAATAGTACTGTTTTTTTGCGTGCACACAAAAATTATGTGCAGTAAATTTAATGCTGATGAAAGATGCCAGATTGATAGCCCTAGGGACTGAGATTCTCTGTACACACAAAGTACAGAGTGAGAAAATTTGTGACCCTGACAAAATGCGTTATAATACACAGCTTATGCAACCATCTTCACACTACAAAACCCTTAACCTCTCCACTGAAAATGTCAAAAATACTGCTTAGTGTTCATTAGAAGGAAAATAAAACATGGACACAGTTGTTAGCATCAACAGGGACAGAATTCAAGGCATCAGATAATTTAAAAAATGTTTACTTTTGTTCTGAATGGTTCTTTTGTCAGCTATGAACTTTGCTGCAGTGTTTGTAAGGCTGCAAAGCCAATTTATACCTGGTATGAAAAAACTTTTCTATTAAACAGCATAATATTACATAAGAAAAATAGCAAAGGAGTGGTTTAACTTTTTTATTCAAATAAGCTTATCCTAGCATACATGACCTCACACTTAATGCTCAGAAACTATCTTGAAGGAGAACTGACTTGATAGTTTCACTTAATAGGTACCTAGGCAGTCACTCTCCAGTGATCTGCACAATTGATCTAACAGAGTTTTAATGGACAGTAACTCCCTATTAATCAGGTTTTCAGCACTAGGCTGGAATCTACATTGTCATATGGTGCAGGCGAGCATCCAAGGAACCTTGGATTCTAATTTCCCTTGCTACTAATAGCTTGGCCAAACAGCAAAACTCCCCCCACTCCCCAGCCACCGTCCCCTACCCAAATGTCAAGCAATTTTTAATTGTCAACAGAGGACACGTAGGAAGCAATAAGTTAATGTTTATAGACCACAACAGCTCTAAATACAAAACTGCTGACCTCCTTATAAAGGCAAAGACTTTCACTTCATGAAAGGAAGCTATCCAACACAAGCCACAGGCTGCAAATTCACTGGATCTCAAACCAGATTGTGGCATAGGATTAAATGCTACTTCAGCTCTTGGGAGATTTCCTTTGTGCATATATGGGCTTGAAGCAGGGGACAGTGATGGCTAAAAAATATGACAAAAGAATGAGGCTAGTCTCTGATAGATTTAAAAAAAATAATTCTTCCTAGAGACTCTTTTCCTGAATGAAGTGCTTTTCCTTAAAGCACTTTTGAAAAAAATCTCTTACCACTCCTATTTTCCTTGGTCACCAATCAAAGCATTACAACAAAATTACTCAAGTCTGCTTAATAAAATAAATGAAAACAAGAATTCTGCAGCATCCTGCATCTCAGCAAAGCAGAGACATTTCTGTCACCTCAAGCATGTAGCAGATTATTTTCACATTACTGAAGCAAAGAGGCTTAATAGCTCTATTGTAAGAGCTTCTTTCATTTCTGTTGAAAGCTTTTTCTAAAAGTCACATTACAGGTGGTATTTGGTAACATGTAAACCTTTCAAACTTAATCTGTATTCTAAGTCTTTAGAGGAGACTCTATGATAAGTACCCACTAGGAGGACATGGAAAAAGTACCATCATGTAATTTTCCATTGAAATAATCATCAGCTTCTTTTTGTGGAAGATAGAAATTCTGCCAAATTTGTACTTAAAATGAAGCATGGGCATAAGAGTTTGAAAAACTGAGATCAAGATTCAGGTACTTCCACAATTTTCACCCTTACTTAGAAATGATTGCCAATATTTACGATGGCTAAGTGGTTATAACATGGCAAAATAATACTAAAAGACTAATGCTATAATATTAACTTGAAAAATAAGCTTTAAATAGGGCCAAATAAAGGTAAATGCAAAAGGTATTTAGAACCATTGAAAATAAAATCCAATCTCTTTACTATCCTTTTGACCCATGCAACTAATGAGCTCTTTTGGTTCAAACATAGTCTGGAATCCAATCGAACAGGTAACCCTTTTGATTTCCTCTGCTTTATTTCAGGAAACAATAATTAGGAGAAAACAATTCCAGAACACTTAACAATGCACATAAATTACAAAGACATAAGGCTTTTTGAGGTAAGACTGTAAATTCAAATATTTGCATGTGGTGATAGCTGGATTAAACTAGAAAACCTCCATATTTAACCACAATGTAAAAATAACTGTTCAAATGTTCCTGTGACACACTTCAATGTATTAAACTATTTTCTACACTGTAATTTCTAAATAAAAAAAAAACCTTACAATTTTCCTATGATTTCATCAGTTTGTCAAAGATAATGACCAGGTCATAAAGAGGGAGTCCTTTATGCATGAAAGATTCAGCATATATTTAGCAGTTCTATCAGGGGGAAAAAAAACCAAACCATGAGTTTAGCCCATAGAGACCTGTGGTTCAATCCAGGCAAGCACTAAGCTAAAATAAATAAAGTCATGAAGAACAGTGTATAATTTCTAGTGTATGAAGACTTGTCAGGGCATTTTGTCATTTGGTTTTAATTAGCAAACACTCCTTTGAATAATCTCAGTTGATCTGAACAGCCCATTCAAAGATGACCCTAACACTCCTGAGTCATCCAACTGACAACAAAAACTTCCAAAATTCATTAATTAAGCTTAAAACTATACCTAACTTTTCTGTGATCATAGCTGTCAATAAACTTTGATAAGGAATGCTGAATTAGGACATTACTAGACACTTGCTCTAAGAAAATCAAGTTCTGCTTGATGTTCTAAAAGTCCTACAAATTACTGAATTATCAGACTAATTAGTAAGAGAGGGAAAAAGCTATTAAAACATAAAGTCCAGTTTAAAAATGGATTGAGGTCTATCCCATCATCATCCAGCAGAACAATCTGTCTATTTCCCTTAAGGCACAGGGAAAACTATTACAGCACTCAGTGTAAAAAAGCTGAGTATTTAAAAATAAATTGCAGAGTTGAAGGACTGCTGCATCTGCTAAGGCATTTTTCTAAATTCACCCCAGCCACTCCTCACGCCACATATAGGTCCCCCAAAACCAGAAAGTTGTGGCTTTATTGTTCTATCTCAATTTTTGTTTTTGAACAATATACCAAACAAAACGAGTTTGTTTAGTAAGTAGAAAAGTGTTAATTTCTCACTTCACAAGCAGAGAAACAAGATACAAAAAAATAAGTAATTTGCAGAAAATAATACAGAAAGTCTACTTATCAACCATTAACGTGAAGACCAGGTGTACCCTGCTATTGCCAGATGTCTCTTGCCTCGGCACAAATGAGACAAGGAGCAAGGAAACGCGTTTGGAAGGATTCTCTCTCCCTTCCCCCATCACACTGCGGCCACTCACCTGCCACTTACAGGTTTTGGCACGAAGGACGAACTCCAGTTTGGCAGAACTTGGAAACGTTTTGAAGATAATCTTAAGTTACTTCTCGTTCAGGCATTGAGGACCTTGGTGAAAGGACAACGCCACTGCTATTGGAAATTACAGACTTCACCTAAAACCGTAATTGCAACAAGGTACGGAGCAGAGAGAAACCGGCAAGGACGGATGCCGGAGATCGGCCGGAGCAGAATCCTGCACCTGCTGAGAGCGGCAGGGCGGTACAAACAACCGAGTCCCGGAGTGACTATTTAGCTGCAGACGCGGACATCAAAGACTCCCGTGAAACACCCAGGCAAACCTCAAACTAAATACGTAGCTCCTGGGACTTCGACACACGGAGCACACATCGCTGCACGGGCGCCCGGCAGAGCGCTGCCCGCCGGCCCGAGGCCCTCTCCCGAGCCGCCTCCGGCCCCAGCCCTGTCTGCGCTCCGCTCCGGGGGCTCCGCACCGGGGCCGGGAGCCGCGGCACCGCCGCCTGCCCACCCCGGCCGGCCCACCCGGCACCGGTTTCTTCCCGCCGCCCGCCCGGCGGCCCTAGTCCGCGCCTGGAGCGCCCGGCGGCGGCCGACACGAGCAGAAGGCGGCGGCGGTGCGCGGCAGCAGGGGAAGTATCGCATCTTCCCCTAGTCCTCCCCCTGCGGAAAAGCCGCTGTCAGCTCACCTCAGCTCCGCGGCGGCTCGGGCGGCCGGGACCCGCCAGCCGGCATAGCGTGTAGGCGCGGGGGCCGGTGCTGCCGCAGGCTGCCGGCGGTGCGGGGCGGGCACCATAGAGAGGGCGGGCGGCGAGCGGAGAGCCCTCCGCCGGCGGAGCGGAAGCGCGCCGAGAGGCCGGGCACAGGAGGAAGTGACGCCCGGGTTGCCGCGGCGATCGCGCCCCCGGAGCGGGAAGCACGGCGCGGGCGGCGAGGCGATGCTGGCGGGCCGGGCGCCGCTGGGCGCCGCGGGCTGCGGCCTCTTCCTGGCAGCGGGGCGGCGGCCGCTGCTCTGCTGGCTGTCGCCGTGCTGGGTGACGGCGGGGCGGCAGTACCCGTCCCTGCGGGCGGCGGAGCCGACGAAGGAAAAGCGGCTGGTGCGTAAGGAGCAGCGGAGCAGCCTCGTGGTCCGCCGCTTCATCGCCTGCCCGCAGCTGGCGCGCACCGTGCGGCGCTGCCTGCAGGGCGGGGCCGGCCCCGGCCCCCAGCACCTCCTGCTCGAGTTCGCGCCCGGTGAGCTGCCCCAGGCTCCGGCGCGCCCCGGTGACCTTGGGGGGTCAGTGCGAGGTGCCGCCCTCGCTATCCGCCGTGCCGGCACCCCGGCCCCGCTGCTGTGGGAAGGGGCTGGGGCCGTGCCTCTCCCGGCATCTCGGGCGGGGGGGGCAGCTGCGCTGCGTTCCGGCGCTCCCCCGGCCGCAATCCTGGCTGGGGGTGCCCCGGACCCGCGCCCCGGCACCTTCCCGGGACATCTGGGGTGTGCCTGGGCGTCCCATTTATGCAGAGCCTGCGGGATGGGTGAGGTTGCAGGCTGGAAGCTGAGTCAATCGTGTTAAAACTGCTGTAGAGTGACTAGAGATAGCAATTTCTACTGTGGTTTTATCAGTAAAAGCACACCCAGGATTATGGGCTACGGCAGATCCTCTGCAGTTTGGGTGTTTCTTTTGTTTGCATTTCTTCAGATTGTATTTTAAAGATAATATGGATAAGGTTCCACAGTATATTTCAGTTGGCAGAAAAAAAAGAAATATTTGCGACATTATTTCCAGTGCTGCTCAGTATCTAATTGTAACGCTGTGCTTAGTGTAATACAGTGAGAAATCTTGGGCAGACTGCCTGTAAATCGTTTCTGTAACTCTTGTTTTGAAGTGTGTTTAACAAACACACCTGTTGAAGGTGATATGTCCCACGTGTTTTTTTGGGGAAAATCACTAAAGGTAATCACTTACAAACAAAAACACACTCCTAAATTTTTTTTTTATTACTATTATTTTTTTTTTTTTTTTACATTTTTTTTCTTTATTTTTCTATTTCAGGTCCTGGGATTTTGACTCGATCTCTGCTTGATGCAGGATTTAGAGTGGTAGCTCTGGAAAGTAACTCAGATTTTCTTACAGACTTACAGGTATACTTTTGATTCAGTTGCACGTTTCTAAAACAAAATTAAAGGGAAAATGAGAAATTAGCTTAAATTGTTGTGTAATTGTTGGATCAAAAAGGAATTAGGCAGTGGTTGTTACTTGCAACATCTGACCTAATGCCCAATAACACTATGTAGTTTGGCATTGTAGATCACAAATGCCGAATGTTTTTAAATTAATTTGGCATTTTGTGTATGTAGGAATTCAAGTTCATACATAGTCTTTCTATGCATAAATAAAATTTCATGCCTAAATTTGAAACTGATTGAAGTCATTGTAGATGTTTATATTTAAGCAAGAGTTCTGTATGAAGCTGTAAAAAAATCTGTAAAAATACTCTTAGTTATTCTGATTATATCAGTTTTATTTAATCTGTTTTCATACAACTGACACGTGCGTTGTCCTCTCTGCTCACCTGGGCTTTGCATGGATTCAAAGCGGGTCAGACACAGAGCTGCAGAAGTTGCTCTAGAAGGTTTGTATTAGAGAGCTGGTTTGGAACTAATGACTCTCACCTGACTTAAAATGTCTATAAAAGGTATCCTCTCCACAGATATGAAGAATTCTAGTTTCAATTTGTTAAAAGAAGTGGTTTACTTAGTTTAGTAGTTTGTGTGGTTTTTTCAAAAACATGGCAGAACATCTTATAAATTTAAGAATGTGGTTTAAAAGCTGAAGTTGAACAGCACAAAAAATGTCAAAATGTCCTGCACAGTAAAGGAGGCAGTTACTTTTATCAGCTATTCTTTTTATCATCTGTAAGAAGCAGCTCTGAGGTTTGACTCTTGTTGACTGGGTAACAATTTTAGGTAGTGCTTGAATGCATTTTTTGTTTCGGTTGGGTGTTTTGCAAAGCTAGTTACTGTATGCAGATTTCTTCAACTGAAGTTACTTTTATTCAGTCCCTAGAAAATAGCCTGGATGGGCAGTTAAAGGTGATTCATGGTGACTTCTTCAGACTGGATCCTTTGGCAAAGGGAGCTTTGAAACCACCTGCTGTGTCTTCTGACAAACTTTTTGAAACCATAGGTGTAGCAGCAGTTCCTTGGAGGGCAGGTATATGTTTATGATCCCGCACATTGCAAACATGTTTCAAGGGTGCATAGGTAGTTTGGCAAAAACCTGGGGATTTGCTTGCAGTATATGTTCTATTTAAGACTCATGCTGGATTGATAGATGCTGTTTTCTATGTTTCAGCTTTGCTTAAGACTCATGATAGCTTCAGAACCACTCCTCTCCCCCCCCGCCCCACCCCATGGCAATATCAGATAATTAGGTATTTTCTTGTAATTTAAAGTCTAATGCAAACAGGGCTTAGCTTTGGCTAAGGCTTTAATTGTATTCATTCTTTAACAACATGAACTCACAGACTTTCTTCTCTTAGTTTTTTGTAGTTAAGACATTAGAATTAATGAGATTGTCTAATACATACTGCAAAATTTTAAAGATACTTTTGCTATCGTGGGAAACAGATGTTCCTCTGAAAATTGTTGGAATCATACCGGAACAGTTGGAAAGAAACAGACTTTGGAGACTTCTTTTTGCCATGTATGAATGCAGTTCCATATACAGATACGGAAGAGTAGAACTCAACCTCTTTATAAGTGAAAAAGAGTATACGGTATGTGCAAGGCATTTTACAGGTAATGAAGGTGTAGTGCTTTACAGAACACAAACCCATTTTTATTGTATATCTAGTGTTTTTGCTAGGGATTTGTTTTCCTACCAGAATTTTTAAGTATTGTCAATTTTCTACTTGTTTGCTTTATGCTGTAAGAACACTATAAAGAAACATTCTGTTGTTATTTAACCGCAGATTTAAAAATGTGAAGACTGGTCCTTGAGAAGTATGTGCAGCAGCAGACTAGCTGCTTTCCATTGTAAATTGTGAAGTGATTAAATTCTGTGCCATGCTTTTGCAAAACATTTGTTTACTAGTTGCAGGTAGTAGTTAATGAAGACTGAATTCAAAACACAAAAGCACAAGTGAAGAGGATTCTGAGTCACTAAATACCAATACAGTGAGATGTACTTGTCCCCTTGAGTTGTTCTGTATGCAGTACTGAAAATAATAGACAAAATATATAATGATTTACACTCCTTTTTATTAATGCTCTGCACACTAAAGTGCAGAGCCTTTTTTGGATTACATATTCCTAATTTATGCTGTCCCAAAGGGTCTGCTTATACAACCAGTGTTGTGTCCTAACACCCCACTGAAAAAATTAAACATGTTAAGTATATTCTTTACGAAATGACAGTTTGTACGCTACTGAAATACCCATGTTATAGTATGTTTTAATGGTCAGATGTTTTACTAAATACAGGGCAGCCTATTGATTTAAGGTAGTCCCTGTTTCTTTTTTTTGTTTTGTTTAATTAACTTTCCTGATTATAATGTGAACTCTGTTACATAAGAGGTGTGTAGTAAAAGCTGTTGGAACCTTCTTTAACAAGACATTGTTGACTCCTTTTTGTTGGTTGTTCTGGCGTTATATCATATGACGAGGCTATGTAAATCTATTCCACAAAGTTAAATCTCCCTGCTACAATTTACTTCTCTCCTTGTCCTTTTTGAGAATAATCACAAGCTTTTATTTTTTCCTTACCATAAGAGTTGTTTGATTTGTAACATTGATCAGGATGATGACTATGCAAGTTGCTTCATGTTCAGTGTGAACACCTGATGTTTTCCTTACTCTCGTTTGTGTGTCTTGGGAATATTATCTTACCAGTGCACAGATAACTCTGCCAAAGCTGTGGCTTTTATATGAAATCTGATCCTCATTTCTGTTCTGTGTGAAACTTCTCTGCCTTAAAAGGGACCAGAAAGTATATGCTGGAGAGTCATACATAGTTCAGTTATCCAAATAACTGCTGTGAAGAAATACTTCAAATATTGCATCTTCTAACCCTGTCTTCTGACAAGATAAATTAAAATAGCACAAAGCATATGTTAGAGGCCTACTGTAACTTTACCTTGGAATTTTAGACTTAACTGAATTTCTTACTGTTTTATATAAAGACACAGTCTTGGATTTTGCAATAAAAATGCTTTCTCTATGCCATTTTTTTAGGTATTAACAGCAAAGCCTGGGAAGTCAAAGATTTATCAAGCACTTACTGTACTTGCACAACTAGGGTATGAAATTGAACTATTGCATAAGGTAAGAGTTTTGTACCAGCTGATATGCCCTAAAGCTATAGACATGCATTTAGAAAAGAGTTTATAATGGTTTACCATTGAAGCTAATTTGATGTTTAAATCAGTTGGAGAACTGTTGGAAAACTTTTGTAAAAAGCTAAAATAGTAATGTTTTGTGTATAACGCTTTCAATTAAGTGACATTGTTATTCACTATAATGTCAGTGTTTTCACTACAAGCCATTGCACTCAAAAACATTTATTCTTAGAATCTGGTAAAAAAAAAATGTTTACACACCAGATAAACCTTTTTCATTTTGCTAATATTTCTGTGAAACTAGAAGTCTGCTTTTCCAATTTGTCATAGTCTGCTCTTTGTTATATCCTCTGAATTTTGCCAACATGTATGCTTTTGACTTCCTAAGCTGTGTTCAGAAGAAATATTTTTGAGTCTTGGTGCTTTTAAGAATACCTGCTTCTTCTATTAGTCAGTACCTTCTTACCTTGTGAAACATGATATGGTTTCGTTTTAAAAGTTTTTTTTATGTTGTTCCCCCAGTTCCTCATGAGCATATGGCCATCAGCTTTCAGTTAGTTTATGCTTTTCAGATTTATCTTTGTGCTCTGTTTTTCTAGGAACCCTCTGTCAAAGTTTAAATGTTTTGCTAATCTAAAATAAGGTTTCACTGTCCATTATCTTCCAAATACCTTATACTACAAGATATACATTAAGGTAAATATTAAGAAGTTGAAGATTAGTACTTTTTGAAGGAGGTCACCTGACTAACAGGGATAAAGTAGAAGTGGAGGCATTTGATGTCTCTTTGCCTCAGTCTTTAATAATACTGATAAGCCATGAGCTGCTTGGCCCCCTGAGCCAGAAGACCATGAGTGTGGGAACTGTGACTTTCCATTTATGGAGACAAACTGGAAGGGACCAGCTGTATCAGCTGAATGTTCAGGGGTCCTTGGGCCTGATGGAATTCATCCCAGAGTACTGAGGAGCTGGTGAAATTATGGCAGGACCTCTCTTGGTCAGGTACCAAAGGTCTTGGGAGGTCCCTGCTGTGTGAAGCAGGCCGGTGTTATTCCACATCCCCCTACAGAGCAGAATGTGAGGGAAGACCCAGTGAACTGGAGACTTGTTTGTCTGACCTCAGTACCTGCAACCATTATGGAGTACCAGAGTCTGCTGGGTACTGTTGAAAGGCATTTGAAGAGCAATGCACTCAGCAGGCACAGTTAATATGGGTTCACAAAGAAAGTCTTGTTTAACCCATTTGACACCCTCTTGTGATAAGGTCACTTGCCCAATGGATGAAGGGAAAAGGTAGATGCAATTTTTCTGGATTCTAGGGGGACTTTTGATACAGCATCTTTCTGGAAAAGCTGTCCAGCTGTGGGATGAGCAGGTTCAGGATGTGCTGGTTGAAGAACTGGCTGAAAGGCAGAGCTCAGAGGGCTGTACTGATTTGGGCTATACCTGACTGGTGGTGAGTCAACAGGCTGTGCCCTGGCAGCCAGGAGGGCAAACTACACCTTGAGGTGCCTTAAACAGCATCATCAGCTTGTCAAGAAAGGGGATTGTCCACTGAATTCAGTGTTGGTGCAGCCTCACCTTAAACAGTTGTGCAGTTCTGGGCTCCACAGTTTAAGAAGGATGTGAAGGTCTTTGAGTACATCCAGAGGACAGCAACAAAACCAGTGAAGGAACCAGAAGGCCATGAGGAGCAGCTGAGGGCTTTGGGCTTGTCTTGTTTGGAGCAAAGGAGGCTGAGGGGTTGAGCTCACTGCCCTCTTCAGTTCCTGGGGAGGGGGAGAGGGAGGTCCTGAGGTCTTCTCCCTAGTATCCACTGATAGGATACATGCAAATGGTTCAGAGCTGTGCCAGGGAAGGTTTAGACCAGTCTAAACATTAGCAAGTACTTCTTCATGGAGAGGGTGGTTGAACACTGTAACAGGCTTCTTAGAGAGGTGGCCAATGCCCCAAGCCTGTCAGCATTTTAGAGAGCATTTGGACAATGCCCTTTATAACATACTTTAGCTTGGTCAGCCTTGAATTGCTCAGGCAGTTGTACTAAATGATCACTGCAAGTACCTTCCAACTGAAATAATCTATTATATTCTAACAAAACACTTCAATTCCATGATACATAATACATTTGCTTTCTCCTATAGGAACCTTGGTCTTCATTTGCAACTAATTTGAAAAATGGGGGACTGGCGATACCAAAAGCGGGGGTAAGATTGTTGTATAGGCTTTTCTTCTGAAGATGCAGCTAAACTACTTTTAATTAAAGGTTAAAGAAACTTTATAGCAGCATTTACAGATGTATTTTTAAGAACTTTTCAAATTCATATTTAAGGCAGCATAGAGATTAATTAAAAATGGAGTGAAGAATTGCTATTATCTTAGAAACTGAAATAAACTAATAACTTTATTGTCTGTGATGGGAAAAAATATAGTGAGTAAACAGCATAAAGGAATATGAATAGGTAAAGTATTTTTCAGAGAAAGTTAGTGATGGTCACATCTACCTTCCTTAACAAAACAAGTGTTACTACAGTTAATAACACAATCAATATGCTGCTGATTTTGATTAAAATAATTATTCGCATGTCTATTATAGGTTTCATGTGCAAGTTAATTGTGGAAAAGCAAGAGTCTCCATACTTAAATCTGAGAAGTGCAAAAATACCTTGTATAAAGTTATTTACTTCTCTCCTTTGGAAAAGTAATGATGTTCCTTTGTATAATAAAGGAATATTCCTATTTAATTCTGATAATATAAAAGCACGTTTATTTAATATTTTGAGTTTCACACTCCCCAGAAAACTACTATAGTGCTGTATTGAGTACGGTTTGCAATACTTCTGTAATATGTAAGTGACTGGGTGTGCCTTATGTGCTTAGTTGTGTTGCTGAAAAGCCATGTGGAGAGGCCCATCAGGTAGGCTATGCAAGAGGTACCAGAACAACGTCAGAAGTACAGCTGTCAGATCTAATATATCCATTGCTGCCAATACAGAAGTACATTTATTTCCTTTGAAGACTCCACTTTGTCCCAGTTTTATAAAATCCTCATGTTGCAATAGTGTCCTTAGTGTTACACTCACATAATTCCGTCTTTATATATAAAAGGCAGGTTTGGTACCTTGCATAGTATAGGAATACAGTAGGCCATATAATATCTTGAAAACTCACATCAAGTCTGTATTGTCCATTTCAACTAAGAAAGTCCAGTCCTAAAATATAGAAATAAACCCCAAATGATATTATCTTTTGTTTGTTTTCTATTTCCTTTATTGCTTGAGGCACAGACACATCTTCTGATGAAATAATCTTAAGCCTTTTAATAAGAAATGTTACTGGTGGCAAAGATGAAACTCTTAGCTTAAGATAGATATTGTCTTAAACAGTGATTTTTTTTTTAGTGACTTGCTCTGTTTTTCTTGCAGCGGCTGCCAAATGACCATATCTGTTTGGTACGACTGACTCCTCAGCAAAATCTATTTACAGGAGGCTTGAAGCCCTCAAATGCATCTACCTTTATTTTCATGGTGAAGCAGTCTTTTGCTAAACCTAAGTCTAAACTTACCGATAGATTAAAGTAAGTAAGAAAGAATTACAATTTTATACTTCAGAGAAATATATGAAAATATTAAAATATGTTCCCAAAGCAGTACTTGTTTGCTGATAAAATACTGCCTTTTAATAAAATGAATTAATTAATTCTTAATTAATTATCAACATGTAGAATAGAAGATTTCATTTATGCAATCTACTATACAGTATTCTGGGGACTGTTCCTGTAAGGAAGGTTGGAAAGTATTTAAAATATATATGTGCAGTAATTCATGTAGCTCCAGTGGAGCTTAGGTCATGTATCTGCAAGAAGTTTTCACTTATTTTACAGATATAATAATAAAACCACCAAGAGGTTTGCAGTTACAGAAACTAAAAGCTGAAAGAGATTCAGCTCACAACAGACATCAAAGTCATGCTAATGAAAACAGCTGAAGGTTATAGAAGGTGGAATGAGGATGTCCTCAAATGGCTGTTATCTAATTAAAAAAATAGGCTTTAAACTTTACCAATTATGCAAGCTATTCACATTTCTTTATGATCAGTAGATTTCTGTTTCCCAGAAATTGAAGGTGTTCACAGTCTGGAAAGGATTGACTTCTTGCTGATGAAAATAATGCATATACTTCTAATTTGCTGATAGTAGATTATGAAAGTTAACTTCCAGAAAGGGGGGAAAAATAAGCTACTAAATTTAAGTAACTCTCTTAGAAATACAAGTCCAAAGAGCCTTAATGGATTTCTTTCTTAAAGCTCAGTGGTATACCTCATCTCCACTTGATCCTTCAGCTAGGAAGTTGAAGGCTTCTAATATGCATCTTCTGTGTATTTATACACTCCTCCTATCTGGGAAATAGTTAATATATGTGCACATTTATAAAAGTATAGCTTTCATAGCAAAGATGTAGATGTGGGGAGGGTGGATACATCTGTTTATGTAGAGAAGAAAGTACCTGGGAGGTGTAAGTCACTAGTTCATGCTGTACTGAGTCATCCTTGAATTTAATTTCTCCAGCACTGAAACACCCTCTTTAGGCTGTAATGCCTGTTATTGACTTAAGAATTTAGGGTGGATGAGGGAGAGAGAGCACCTATCCTGTAATGAGGATGTTTGTGTGTTTGGTATTGTCTGTGTGTGCTGGGGGCTTTATTTGCTATTGATGTGTTTTAATAGCAGAGGTTTCTTCCTGTTTGCAGTATGGATTGAAGGTAACTTGTGTTGCAAGAAGAGGTTAGCTTCTTCTAGAGGCTGTGAAGGAGTGAAGTGTACCTTCAGATAATGTTTCTTGCTTTTTAATTTTTCACAGAAATAAATGCTCCATTATGATTTTGTTTGTTTGTTTCAGTTCATGGAGCTTGGACAATAGTGACACATTACTGAAAGCACTAGAAATTCCCAAAAATGCTTCAATGTGTAACTTGTATCCAGAAGACTATAAGCGTCTTTTCGAGGCTTTGCAAAACTCCGATTTGTTTGCTGAGACCTTCTTCCATGATGAAGTCTTGGCAAGTACAAGGTCCATGAACTCATAAATCTAAAGCTTTTGGAAAATCACCTTTGCTTCTGGAAGATTACTTTGATAAAAAGTGATTTAAATAAAATCAGAGATACGGTTAGCTAGATGATTTCCTGTCCAAACAGGAAAAATTTAGCAAGTAACAAGAGCCCTTCTACTTAGGATAAAAGTAATAAATTCACAGTTACCTTTCACAATCCTACCTGGAATGGACAAGCTTTGGACACAATCCAATCTGGGATGGACAAGCTTTGCAACTTTTGCAGGAGCTTATTAGGTCGTGCTACTTTGTGCCACTTAAATGCAACTTTTTGTTACACTGTTGCTGTGTATTTACAACATTTGAAAAAAAATTACGAGACCAAATTATATTTGTTTGGTTTTTATTTTAGTGCTTAATGATTAGAATGCCCTTTTGACAGATTCACAGAATACAAACAACAACTTCTACAACAACTGTGTTTACAACAACTGAGCCTGCAACATTGTCTGCCATTCTGAATTTGCAGCCTCAAGTCAAAAAATGCTAATAAATTAATAGTGATATGTTAATAGAAGGAAAGGTAATGACAGGGTGATAAAATATTAACTGAGAGTTGCTTAAAATAAAGATTGTGGTATCCCTGAGGAAAAGTTGTAACAGTTATTTCTTTTGAAAATAACAGGGAGAACATGTACTAGTTTGTAATGCAATACATAAACACCTACACATGTATAGGGATTATTTTAGGTCTGAAAGTTATCAGAATATTAAGTGCTGTATAAATGATTTCAAATAAGATGATTTTATTTTTTTAAAACCTTTGCCAATGTCTTCGATATGTAATACATGTACCAAAATATTACTCAAAACCATATGCTATTAAAATTCTGGTTTTAGTCATAGTACTCCCTCCGAAAGGCAACCTGTTCCAAATTTCTCTGTTTTACCATCTAGCTGTTCTGTTGTTCAACAATGCTGAGAGGTTGTACTGTTTATATGTTGTATATTATACCCTCTGAAAAGAGCTGTGGCAAAAAATACCCTTCTTTGGCAAAGCACTAGTTTTTAAATGCCATTTTGGTGAAGGCTGGGCCATAATCAGGCTGTGAATAACAGTAGTTCCCCAAACAATGCAAACAGAATTGTATTTCTTAAGGTTACTGTGAGGTATAGATGTGATAAGCATTAATCTCTGTCTTCCTCCTGCAGTTCTGGCTGCAGATGACAAATTGATTTTGAGCAGCCTCAGTTCACTCTGCTAGCTAAAAAGCTGAGCTTTTGTAATACTATGGTGAAACTCCTAGAAAGGCTGAGGCTTAATTTGCAGTCTGTCTCAGAGCCCTGCTGGCGTTCTGGTGCAGGTTGTCAAGATTTGAGGCTTCTTTTCTGCTTACATCTTTGACTGTTTCAGAGATAGTCACTGTTAATTGTCAATGAATGTCAACTTTGCATTAACAGAAGCAGTTCCACCTTTTTCAGTCTCATTAAATGGTAACTGTCTTATCTACTGGTCTGCAAGACTGCTGTGTCTCTTGAGCTGATTCCCCCTCCCCACCCTGAATCAAAGCACCTTGCTCTTGTTGCAGCAAGATGTCTCACACCTCCAGCATACCAGGAGAAGTATTCTATACATGAAATGGAACACCACCACTGCCTAAATAAATTTCTTCAGCTATGTGCTGATAAGATTTCAAACATGAACTGAAAACAAGAAATTTGTTTTATTTTGATGCTGTTGCAAAGCAGCACTTAATGATCCAATGCAGAGACTAACAGCAGGAGTCTGTAAGTGGAAGGAATATTGCGTAACTGGGGACTTGAAGTGAGATTTAATGCTCAACAGAAACGCACTATTAAGGCTAAGTGTGAGCAATGTTTAGCCCTGATCACAAATGTGAAATGGAGGGAGAAATGCCTGCCATGATAAAAATTATTTTAGTATTAATGAAAAAGATTGAAAATGTGAAAATGACTATTGTATATGAATAAATACACAGGGAATGAAAATTAAGTAGGTCTATATATTTGATTAATTAATGCTATCCACTCAGTAATTCCTACTGTTGTAGGATTTTAGCTTTTGTAGGATAATGTTGAACTTTCACTTCACTTTCAAATTTTTAATTGTATATGAAGGCTTGTCATACATTTCTGTTACCATTTTTAACCAATGCTGTATTATTTGTATTCCTTTCCTTTGCATAACTGCCTTCTTTTTTTTTCAAGACTGATTTAATACATGAACCTCTGAAACATGAACCACATGTGACGCACTATCTAGTAAAACACTTTTAAGTATTTCTCTCAGTCTTCCAATTTTTTGAGGAGCTGCCCAAAAATGCTGTTTGGCATTCCATATTAAAGCACCAGTATATCATAGCTGATATATTGACTGTAACTTCGGAGATGCTAGGTGTTGGTCTTTTCTAGTGGCCCTCATCACTTGTGCCATCTGTCTGGGAAAGAGAATTATGACTGTGCTAGCAATTGCCTAAGCTCTTCCTACTTACCTATATTTAAATCATAACAAACACAAATAGAGACAGAAACAAACTTGGTCCAATTAATGAGAATTTTTGCCACTTGGAATTAGGTCAGTTAAGTTGAACTCTATAGTCAGTTCACTTTTGATCTAGAAGAAGGGTTTCTGACCTTGCAGTAATTAACCCAGTAGATGCTGTGGTAAGAGGTTGTTAAGGTGGAATGTGTCTGTACTGGCTGTAAACCTGTTCAGCATTGGACATTTTAATAATTAGAGCTCAGCCTTGCAGGCTAATGATAATGTTGATGGAAATATCAGCATAAAACTTGAGAAACAGATTGTGTGGTATAGTTTAGGATGTGCAAATGTGATAGGAAGAAACTGAGGCTTCCTCAGAAGCATGTTGAATTAATTGTTTTGTCAGACTGAACACAATCTGTGGGGCTGCAGATTGAAAACTCTGACTTGAGTTTTGTATGACATTAATTAGCAGAGCCATACCTTTCTTCTGTAAATGCTGAGAAAAAGGAAATAACAAAGTTACTTTTCTGGAAAGTAAAAGTAGGAGATGTTTATTCGCTCACATTATAGCCTTGTTTAACAGCTATTGCATCTTTCCTCATGTGGGCTGTTTTAACTTGTCACTGCTAAAATAAGCACACTGACTGTCTCCAGCAGATAGAACACAACATGCAGCAAGCACAGGAAGCCCTAGGGAAATTAGGAGTAGTTAAGATACACCAAATGAAACAGTCGATTACTCATAATGTCTTTAAGCACTCATGTGGTTGATCCTATTGATACAACCCCTAATAAACAAACAACTCAGAACTTCCTGAGCTTGCTTCTGTCATTTGAAGGAAATTGACGTGTTTGGGGCAGGGAAGATACAATGGTTTGGTAAATTTCCCAGTTAAAAAAAATCAACAGATAAAATCTATATGAAATTACAAATTTGTGCTTAAAACGCTTCTGCAGTGATTTTTAATTTAACATTCTAGAATCAATTTTTCACTAGCCCACTAACATTGAAAGTGAAGAGACCTCTTCAAGAGATACGTGTTCATAAAAGATTTAACTGTACTTACAAGCTTTCAGCTAATTAATAGATAGCTATTCTATGCTGTTAGTGACACAGATTTTTTACAATTTTGTGCTGTGTTGTTTGGAATGGCTATTGCACATTTATGAGTAAGGAGCAGAATGTGAATGATTTCACATCTGTTTCTCTAAATTCATGTTGTAAAACATGCCATCCTGAGATAGAAGAGCTAAAGCTCCATGACCGTGTCTCCTGGCAGTAAGGACATATGACTAATTCAGCAGCATCAGCCACAATTAAGTGATATTTCCTTCAAAACTGCCGTCATTACACTCCTTGACAGCTTCTTCTGTCCAGAATGTGTCATGCACTTCAAACAGCTGCTGAGAAGTCTGACCTGTTTAGGTCTGTGTATAACTTGGTCATATAAAAATACCATGCTGATAACAGGGATTAAATTCAACTAAATATATTCTTGGGATAAATAAGCACTTACTAGGATATATATCCCTAGTGACATCATACTTTAGAGAAAATTCAGACTGATGATTCCAATGTTGGGCATTCCATTGATCACCATTGCTGAAAGACTGTTGAATGGCTCTCCTAGGGACATTTGTCATTAACCTGTAGATGGAGGTATGTAGAATCAGTTCTTCAGGCCCTTCATACAGATGTCCAAATATCCAACACTGCATTAAACTGTTCAATGCTGTGTTTGAAAGCTTATCTATACAGAAAATCTCTATTACTGCAATTATGTTTTCATATCACTTGAAATGCAATGTCAACTAAAAGCTGTTTTCAAGTTTCTGTGGCTTGTTTCCTGTACAACTTATGCCAAACTGATGGAAGTACTTTTCTTCAGTTATACATACTTCAAATCTTCCTAGAGTAGCTGGGCTCTTCAAGGATGTGATTTTCATTTTGTTTGTGTGTCAGTGTGACAAAAGACTGGCATTCCCTTGGATGAGTTTTTGTACTTTGCAAGTTTTTTTGTATTACTGGACATGTAAGTGAGAAAACCTGCCAAGAAGGAAAGAGAAAATAATGAAAATTAAATATATTTATATTCACTCTTCCCCAAGTTCACTTTTTGCAGTTCATGGATAGGCCTTTAGGTTTATGCATTTTATTTGACCATTCATTTCTTAAATTTATCCACTAATAGAGGCAGATATTAACTTCTGTTATTACTGGGCTTGTTTTTGATACAGGTTTTGGGTGATGCCTGCTTAGAAACTAAAACATCATAGACAGGGAAATGCAGAACATTTAATAGGTGAAGAAGTAAAGCATACAGGCCAAATACAGAGCTAATTCCCTAATATTTTAATAACTGCTAAGGTTAATTCTTGAGAAATTCACAGTAACACTGTAATTTAACACATTTAAAAATTTGCTAGAAGAGCTAAAGATAAGCGTAATAACATGCATAATGATTTCACTAACAGCTAGATTGCTGTCAGTTCTTTTGGTAATGAATTACATCATTGTAGCATTAAGCAAATGCCAAAATATATTTTTCTGTGAGAATCCTCTGGCTTTAGGCACCTTGGTTCTTCCTAATAGCAGTGGTTTAGATAGGGATATTGCCATTCCTTATTACCTTGTTGCAACTTGTATGAAAACAATTCCAGACTGAAATAACAGTTACTGAGAACACAACTGAGAGTGTTTTAGCACTGTACAGCTGCTTCGGAACTGTTAGGTCTATGTGTCGGTGTTCTTTGACAGCATGAATCAACGCTCCTTTCCAAAGCACAAGCCCTACCTCCCTCTATAGGCATGATAAGGAAAACCAGGTAAAGCCGATCTGCAGTTTAGCAGGTTTAGCGTACATCATGAGTGTCATCTTATAAATGAATGAAAGTTATGCAGACCCATAGAGAAAGCATTTGTTTCACGAGCTTTGAGCACCAACATTTCAGATTAATACTCTTATTTAATTCTGCAAGTGTTTGCTTTCTCCATTGTCATTTATTTGACTCATGGTTCTGACAAAATGTTATCTGGTGTATGGGGTGCATTCTCGGTGAGAAACACCACCGGGGCATAGGTGCAGCTACTGGCCCAGTCATATTTCTTTGTATTCAGATCACAGTGAAATCCAGAAATACATCCAGATGCCAGCTCACAAATATAATGTCCTTTTTTGGGCACGTCTTTTAACTGAATTACTGCCACATCCCCTCCTTTGTAAACCAAACTGTTTAATGTTTGGGGTGTAAATGTGTAAAGTGAGGGTGCCAGGAAGATGGAGCCAAAGATGGAGCCAGGTACAGGAGGCAAGGGGCAGAAAATGATGCCCGGGAAGTTCCACCTGAATATGCAGAAAAGCTTTATTACTCTGTAGGTGACTGAGCACTGGAGCAGATTGTCCAGAGAGGCTGTGGAGTCCCCCTGACAGGAAATATTCCAGACCCCTCTGGACGCGGTCCTGTGCAATGCGCTCTGGGGTGGCCTTGCTTAAGCAGGGAGGTTCCACCAGATGACGCACTGTAGCCCCTTCCACCCTGACCCACTCTGGGATTCTGTGATACGTATTATTGGCTGCCTCTTCAGGCAAAGGGCTGCCGTGCCCCTCTCAGTGCGGCCGTGCTGCGCCGGCCCAGCACCGCGTGTGCCGCACGCCCGGGCTCCATCCCCACAGGGGTCGCCCCGCCCTTGCCCTGATTTAAGATGGCGGCGGCAGCGCCGGGTCACGTGCCGGTGGGCGGGGCGGCCGCGCTCTCCTCTCCGGTGGCGGCGCGCGTGGCAGGATGGAGTCGGCTGCGCTGGAGCGGTTCCACAGCCCGGGAAAGGGCAGCGGTCTCCGCTCCCGCCGGAGGGTGCGGCCCGGAGAGCTGCTCTACCGCGCCGTGCCCTTCGCCTACGTCCTCACCAAGCAGCAGCTGGACAGCGTGTGCGAGCGCTGTCTGCGCAGGTACCCGCGGGAACTCCGCAGCCAGCCCCGCCCGGACAGCGCCGCCCCTTCCGCCGGGGCGGGGGCGCGCCGTGCCTGAGGGCCGGGAGTCCGCGCCCTCAGAGGAGCTGGCTGTGCCGGGCGGGGTGGGATGGGCAGGGCTGCGTGCTCCGGAGAGGAGCTGGCTGTGCCGGGATGGGCAGGGCTGCGTGCTCCGGAGAGGAGCTGGCTGTGCCGGGATGGNTGCCGGGATGGGCAGGGCTGCGTGCTCCGGAGAGGAGCTGGCTGTGCCGGGATGGGCAGGGCTGCGTGCTCCGGAGAGGAGCTGGCTGTGCCGGGCGGGGTGGGCAGTGGTACGTGCTCCGGAGAGGAGCCGGGATGGGCAGGGCTGCGTGCTCCGAGAGAAGCCGGCTGTGCTGCGCTGTGCCGGGTCCCGCGGCTGTGCTCTGCCAGGGCGGAGCTCCTGGGCTTGCCGCTTCCTGCCTCTGTTTTTAACTGGGGGCTTTTATCTTAAGCGGCTTTTTTTGAAGATGTCGTCTCTCCCCGGGCGCGGGAAGTCCCTGGGGAAGTGTCCTGGGCTGACAGGAGGCGGCAGTGCCGGCGTGGCTTGGTGCTCCACGCAGTTTTCCCGCTGGGCTGGCGGTGCCGGGAGCGTCCGGCCGCCGCTCGGGGACTCCCGAGTCCGGCGGGGCAAGGGGGAGCTGTGCGCCGGCGTTCGCACAGCTGAGGGGCATCAGCCTTCTTGAAATAAGCAGCGGGCTATGCTTGAGTTTCGGGTCGCCTGGCCAGGTTTATCCCGTAAAAAGCACGTGGCTTTGAGACATGCCGTAAATAAATGCCTGCCTTCTTCCCGCATATCACTACAAGTG